AATCTCAATTGTAGTATTGGCTCGCCGACAATAACAAATCCTGAATACACAGTAGTAAGGACGCAAACCCAGCAATGACCACAGAACATCCGGGGCGAGGGGGGTATTTTGGGGCAATGACGTTAGAGGGTCGGAAGCAGCTAATAGATGGCGACAGTATCAGTAAAAAACCTTGTTATCATTTTGTGCGAGGGAGTGGGCAATCTATAGTTGTCTTCATCTATGGTTCTGACGCAGTCCGTATTTATGCACCGGTTGCGATGACGTGGTTATATCCTCCGGTGTACTGGATCCTCTCTCCTGTCCCGAGCTGTGGCTTTTTCTTGCTGTTTTTTCGTTGGTGAGTGCTGAAAACCGTATCTTGTTTAGCACCACTGTCTCTTCATTTCTGTTGAAATTGTCGTCGTGTTTGTGGATTTCAATGGCTTCTCGTATCAGTCGGGGGCGATACCCTGTTATTGTGGCCAGGACCTGTGCCTCTCCGAAATAGATGTTGTGTGTTCCGTCGCTGAGGACGTCTTCCGTCACTGCCGACTTTTCCACATGTCCCAGTTTACAATTCTGTCGGTGTTCTTCTATTCTTGTCGCAACCGATCTCTTAGTAAAGTTTCTATGCAGCGGCTTTTACAGGAGCATGATATCCGTTAGATTCCTGCAGTTGCGAGGGGTGGTCTTCTGTCTTTAACTGACCCTAAACATTCTCGGATCTTTGTTGTGGGCTTGTAGACTGTTCTTATGTTGTGTTTCCTTATGAGCCTCCCAAATCTGTCCGTAACCCTGGGAACAAAGGACAAGAAAGCTAGTGAGAAAGAATAGTGGATTCACTTTTTTCCGCACGGCCCACTCCTACAGCTTTTTTGATGTCCAACTGGGAACATCTGTTCGGAAAAAAGCTTTTTCCAAGTGCTGTAGTTCTGTGGTTAGATGTTGTGGTTCACATATCTTTCTGGCTCTATCCCTGAGAGTCTTAATGATTCCCTGCTTTTGACTTGGATGGTGGTTAGATAGCTTGTGAAGATATCTGGCCGTGTGGGTGGCTTTTCGATATACTTTGTGGTCCAAACGACTCCCCGGCCTAGACACCAAAACATCCAGGAAGGCCAGTTGGTGGTTTTGTTCAACTTCCATGGTGAATTGGATGTCTGAGTGCTGTTTGTTTAGATGGTCGAGGAAGATGTCCAGGTTTTTGCGTCCATGCCTCCATAGCACGAACGTGTCATCGACATATCGGTACCAGATCGTTGGTTTAAGGGGTGCGGTGCTCAACGCTGTTTTCTCAAACTTCTCCATGAATAGATTCGCCACCACCGGACTGAGTGGGCTTCCTATGGCTAGTCGTTCCTTTTGTTCGTAGTAATCTCCATTCCACAGGAAGCAGCTGCCCTTTAGAAAAGCCTTGAACAGATTTGTTGTGCTCTCTTCAAATAGCTCCGCCACTGATTCTATGGATTCGTCCACGGGTACATTTGTGAATAGAGGTACAACATCGAAGCTGACCAGCATGTCCAAATACGCATGTCCGTAGGTTCCAGTCTGAGGTCTTGGATCTTCTTAATTAAATGTTCGGAATCCTTGATGTATGTGTCTGTGGACCATAGATTAACTAAGTATAGATCACAGGGGTAACTGTTTACATCTGAAATTCAGCCAACATCAAGACACGAAATTGCGGTAATGCCGGTTATGATATGAGCCGTTTCTTTCATTTGAACTACAGGAATAAACATGTGCTTAAACCAAGCGAAAATAAGTTTAAAAGTGATTTTGAAATGTTTATAATGTAGATAATTGTAGTGTATAGACTTTTGAAGAGTAAATTGTTAAACCTTGTCGTTGTCTAGCAGTGCGCCGATCTGCATTATTCTGAATACATTATGATAGTTCTGTGACGATGGCAACACCGAACGTCTTGCCAAACTTTCTTTCATTCACAAAAAGAAAGTCAACTATTCCTTTTGTGTTCCCCTACTTTCCCCTACTACGGTGTTTACTATAGCTGTTTTACGTATATTTTTAAGTTATTTTGTGAATAAGTGCATCTAAATACATTATAATGAGTGTTAGTTGCGTGATCTGCAAAAAATCTGGACAGGATAGCCCGGAATTATCGTTTCATCGGTAAGTATAATAGTCATTTT